TGTGTACACGAAGAGAGACGTCATCGTTGAAAGCATCACGATTCGGAGGGAAAACGCTGGCATCAAACACACCCGCGTGAGGCTGCGTGAGGTGGCCCTGCTCCCAAAACACAGAAAATGATGCTATCGGGATTGGCATGAAGGAGTAGACGAATAGACGCGAGTGTTGCGTACATCGTGCAGACCAACGCGGCACTAAGAGTATTCTTCGTTGTTGCTGCAGAAGAACATGTTTCAAACAACTCTTGTTTGGCCTTGCCTCCCGTGTGACCCCCACCGATGCGTCCAGAATCATACGGGTACCGAAGATGTGAAAGCGAAAAACTGATGCCAAGAATCAAAGGGAGGACGCTATTATGAAGTACTTCAGCATAATACAGAACGCACCACCACTTGAGGGCCTGGCAGTTAAATATGCCACGCTACGTACAATAGACAAATTGAGAGGTTTGACCTACAAAAATAGGGCTTGCGTTTTGTGCCTGGAAAATAAACTCCACACTAAAGCCTATACTGTACAGCTGTTGATAAATTGCAGAGGATGAACTAAGAACCCTTTCCTCGGACAATAAGGACGTTCTTACATGTAAGTGGTGGTGCGTTCCGTACACCTACACCCACGACTAAAAGCGTCCACGTGTGCTTTCCCGCTTTTAAGACCGGTGTCTTCTCATTGGTCAACCGCACTCGATGCTCGCCAAAGATACACGCACACACATTCATATTCCCACCGCACTGAGACTAACGTCTTTCCATTAGTCTGCCGGTTAGCGCGGTCGATGCTAATAAGAAAGACACACACACACATGATCTACCGCCCATGGACTTAATATTTATTAGTGTTTCTCCCAAATCCCCTTGGGATTCTTTGTGTACACGCCGCCGCTTCATCACTCACCACGCCAGCTGGTACCGTAAGAGTTGGAGAGATGGCACCGTGTGTGTGAGTGCTTACTAGCATCGACCGCGCTAACCGGCTGACCAATGAAATACGTTAGTGCCAGCGGGTAAACCAAGGTCCCTGGAAGGCGGCCAAAATTCGAAAAATGCGCAATGCGCTAAATGCGAATGCCAACATGACTCTCTCTAAATATTATTTCACAGACACACCTCACAGCTCCGCACATGCCCTCGCCCAAACCTAGCAAGCCATTGATGCAAGATGTGTGTAGTGTGTGTTTGTTCGTCCCATCTATTCTGGCGCCAGTTTACAGAACTTTCGGCGTATACACCTGACGTATCAGCCGGGGTCAAACATGAGGAAGGCCACACAGACAGGAGCTTTTCTTTGATTTATTAATTGTTTTATTGCCCTACCCCACCTTTCCTCCTGCGGTGATTGCCCTAGTTCTTATCGCGATAAGGATTCAGCCATCCCTTTCCCTCGTCGACCGTGAAGCCGAAGTTTGTTTGCTCAAGACCTAGATCGCTTTCAACCTCAGGTTGCTGGAAATATATCCCGGGAAAAAACGCTCCGCGGAGAGAATCGAACCCACAACCTGCCGCTAGGGACAAATATCGATGCACCCAGGGGGACGCACATAAGCCAGGCACCCACATGTGGCAGTCCCGCCTATCTATACAGACCTGCACGAGAACCGTTTACCACCCAAGAGCAACCTAGCCCTACTCCAAGCACCACCACCTTAGCATCTACCCACGTCAGTCTAACCAACCCAGGACCTACCCAAGCAGTAACAACCTAGATTTATCGCATCAATGCCAACCTGCATAGACCTATCCAATCAAAAACAACCTAGAAGATCTCCCTCAACACCAACAACCTAGCACCAATCAATGCCGGCACACCAACCTACTCGTAGAAAACTTAGCCACAGCGCCAACCTAGCACCTTATCGGGTGGGTTTGGGGTTTGGGGTTCTTAGGGTTAGGGTTAGAGTCAGAGTTTACAGATAGCCGGTTTCACACCCAAAGCAAAGTAGATTATCTTCAGAAGTACATGAATTGCGTTGATTGTAAGTCAACTGGGTGCCGGTTGAAGCGACAAGACCCGGCACTGCTTGCAGTGGGTTCCAGACTGCATTTTTTTTTTACTTCGAAGTATTGTTTTTGTCAGTAGAACCCAACGAATCCATCTCCATCGAAGAAAAGAGTCTAAGATTACCTATCTAGACTATATCATAATACAATTGTACGTAGATTAGCAATGAATCCATAGCGTCAGCGAAAGTTCTGTTTTTCCACGATGTCCCGAGCAGCACACAGAGTGATATATCCCCTGTGGGCAATCTTTTTGTCCTTCTTTTTCGTGCGTGGGATATGTTCGGCCTGCTGTGAAGGGTGTGAGTGCATGGCCTAAATGCGGCCCCCCTGTGGGTGCGTACAATTTTTTGGGACAGAGAGTCGCCAGTCAGTCGTCTTGCAGATTGACCACTACAGACCAACTCCTCCGTGTGCGATCGTTTTATTAAATAAATGTGTTTTCTTCTTGTTTTTTGTCGCACCCCGGTGCGATCTCTCCGACCGGTGCGATGCCCGATGGAATACACAAACACGCGCCTTACTGGTACTCGGCGGTGTTGTACACACGCACCCCAGTGCCATCTCCCCGACCGGTGCCATCTCCCCGACCGCTGCCATCTCTCCGCCTCTTTTTTGTTGTTGTGTATCTACAAACACCAGACCGTGGGCGGTGTAGGTACCGTTGTTGCTGGCTGGGAACACACACACCGGTAAGGCAACCGTAGGTAGCACGTAGCAGATTTCCATGCAGCGAGTGGTCATGGGTTTGACTGCGAGTTTGGGTATGGCGTGGTGAAGGAAAATAAACATGCATACCGTTCTTCTGCATGCCCCAGCGCCATCTCCGACTCTCACTGATCAGGCAAAGATTACGAAGGTGTCATGCGCCTGAAATAGTTCGGTATCGACAATCACCTCAACAAAAAAGATCCCATGGCGAACTTGGTCATCAGCTTCGCATCAGGGAGGGTACCAATCGGCGCCGCCAGCGCAAGATCCCACCAGCAAGGGAACATCAATAGCAAAGTTCCTGCTGGTTTGTCGATCCTGGCCAAGCGCCCGTACGGACTCCAGTTCGGGCCCAGCATCCTCAACACGGCGCTATGTATCGCTTTCCAGGCCGCGTCCACCTCCCGCTACTGCTCCTATTGCTGAAGTTGCCACTGTTGTTATGACTGCGGAGTGCTCGCGGGTAGCCTGGTGGAGATGGCTGCTGTGTCAACGTTCGTCTACGCTGCTGCGGGCGGGTGCCGCCGTGCCTGGAAAAAATTAGTCGACTTGGTAGGGTTCTGGATCCTTTCGGTTCGGGCGCACAATTCCGGGCGGGACCACAGAGAAGGCCGGTGCAGGAGGCCTCACCGAACCAAATCCAATACTTGCATTGAACAAGAGGGCGACCTATGGCGACGATCAACGGAGCGACGGCGGCGCGATCGACGAAGAAGGCGGCGCAAGGCCGCCCGATCGACCGACCGACCGACCGACCCAACCCAAAACCCTATACCCAATCCAACCCAACGGCGACGAGCGACGAAGCGACGGCGGCGTTACGGAACAGAATGTGTCGGATTTGAACGAATCCAGATTAATTTCGGAACGAAATCGGGAAGAGATACGTATAGACTGATGGATTCGTTGGGTCATACTGCAACATACGATGAAATAAAAAAAGATGATGTTCCGGCCTGCCGTATTAATGACTTCGAGAGATAAAGCCTCATCTGTTTCACTCCCTACCTAGTCTATACCTTGTTCAGCCCTTTCTCTCTGTCCGAAATACGCCGGAGCTAGATATCGAGGAGAAAGAAATATTGGTATGTACGTACTGTAGAGTCATGACATGCCTAATAACCTAACCTGTAAGTACAACAATAGCAAGCAGCACAACAAGAGAACTCACACTGCGGCTGCTTCCGTGAGAGGCGAAAGGAAGGGAAGGGCGATCTGCATATTATATAATATGTAGTAGAGTCCACCGCGTACTTGGCAAGGTCTGAGAGTAACGGGTTCGACTTGGCCTCGGTCAGTAGGTGATTGAGCGGAAAACCCTGAGCCCGCGAGATGGCGGCGCCGAAAAGAAGTTCGAACCGAGTTCGACCAAACAAAGGGGAACTTTAGACTCAAAGGCGGGTAGTAGAGCCACCTCAGAATGTTGGTTGTCCGCAAAAATTCGCGCCCCGAAAAGAGGATATGAAATTGGCCTATTTCCCCATCAGGGACAGCTCTGGCTGACTGATGAAAGGCGTAGACTTTGAAGGGATGTAAGCAGCGTTGTTTGTTTTTCATTTATTTATTTCTGACAACTCAGGGAGAGGTTTGGATTTCCCCTGGGGGGGCCGCGGATGGATGCGATTTTCCCTCAATTTTACTCTTGTCTTCGTCATAAACCTCGCCACCACCAATATGATCAAATAATACGAAATTATACATTATTATCAGGATCCCCGTGATCTAACGGAAAAGTTGATGTAAATGATCAGAGCTGTCAAGTTATTCTTCCGCTTTATGATAAATTCAAGAAGATGTTGCGCTTACGCCTGACGTTGGTGGGTGGGTATGTATCCGAGACGCCACCGTCAATGCTTCTGGTACTTCTCGAGCTCCACACCATTTCACAAGGAACCGTGCATTGTGGCCAGCGGTAACGATGATGTCGACAGCACTTACTTACTTGCTGACCGACGATCATAGCTCCGCTCGCTGTGGATTGGCAGCAGCAGCAGGGGAGAGTGTCCGAGGAAACAGGGGCCACCGCAACAACACCTGGAAAGAGCGCCGCAACCGCGTGCTACTACGCTGCAGTATTGAGCAGCATCACTCGGCGAAGGTCTTTTTGCCTCTGCTGCTGTGCCGCACGCTATACAGTATTGACCAACACCGCCTCCCTTCGACCCTTAGATACTGCGTGTTGCTATGCATACACGTTCTCGTTGACGACGTTTGTTTGTTGCCGACGACGATGAAGCTTTGAAGGAAAGAAACAACCAAAAGCAACAGGAGGAGGGACCGTATGGGGTGACGCAAAGGGCAGAACATGGTACTGTACGTACAGGGGTTCCCCAGGAAAAATAGGAAGACAAATATGTTTGTCCTGGCGGAGGCTTCTTGTACTTCTCCATTTCACCGCTCATGGGTGCAGTTAGAGCGCATAGGCGTGTACCCATTGGGGGGTCCTGTGTTATTTGCGGCCCGTCTGAACCCCACAATTTTGATCCTGGAACGGGCGAGTGTACTCTGAACTCGATACTGATATCTGCGTCGATGACAGTGCGCCGAGGATCTTTTCGTAGCACATGATGGCGATCGCAACAGGGCATCATAAGGAAACGATGCGCTCAGCAAATATCTGTCATCACACAAGGACACCAACGAGGTAGTACAGACTGCTTGTTTTCCTAAAAACAAAGCGGTGAGTCTGGACCCGAATTATTTGAAGTTCCTTGTCTCCGGGCCGCATACACTGCTGAGAGGAAAACGCAAGGAGAGAATCTTAGAGATTTACATTTACAGTATCATCAGATATATCACATTTGCTACATGTCTGCAACAGAATCTTGCAGAGCTAAAAAAAAAAGATTGCCTGTTGTCGCGGTACGGTTGAGTTGTGGATACCAGGCACGGAAATACTGGTCACCGGCGAAGCTCGTACACCACCACTGACTGCTGTGGCTGCGATCGTAGCGGCCACTTTTTCGTCACTACTATTCTGTCGGGGACGGAGCTTGATGGCTACCAAAGAGCACAATCTCTGTTGAGCTCGTACTTACGAGAGCCAACGTCATCTACGCACGCTGACGTCCACACCCGAAACAAAATGTGCTCGCATCAGCATGTGGAGGATTAGGATTGTGTCATTGTTATAGCCCATCTCAATAGGCCACACGAAGGTATATACTTACGTATACACAACAGAGAGCATAAACGCGGTAAAGGTTCACTTCAAACACTCAGCGAAACGCTAACAAATTCAGCGAACCTCACGGCAGCCATGACCTCGATCAGAAATGCCCGCATACGATGCTCGCGAATACCAAGGCACCGAAATTCTGATTGGACCTGAAAATCTTGAAAAGCCCTGCTGGGTCTTCGAGATCCGCCGAGGAAATCTGCCACGCAAGGTGCCCTCCCGCAGCCGCCGTGCCCGCAAAGAATGGCCAAGACAGATCCATCGCCACTCCCGAGGCCGCCAACAGCCCCACCGACGCTGTCCCGAACCCGGCGAGAATCGGCTTCGTTCTGTCGCCGAAAAGGAGAGCGGTCGACCTAATGCCCAGGCGTTTGTCGTCCGCCTTGTCCTGGTGGCCGTAGAGGGTGTCGTACACAAGGGTCCAGCAAAAGCCCGCGCCATATAGCGGTAAGACGTGTTCCCAAGAAGCGGACCCGTGAACCGCCGCCCATCCCATGATCGCGCCCCAGTTGAAGGTCAGCCCCAGGACGGCCTGGGGCCAGTCCGTGTAGCGCTTCATGAGCGGGTACGCGACTACCAGGGGCATCACGGCGAAGCCGAGCTTGATGCACTCGATGTTGAGGCTGAGAAGCACGCCCAGGCCCAGCGTGAGCTGTGCCCCGAGGAAGGCGATCGCCTGCGTGTTCCCGAGCTCGCCGGACGCCAACGGCCGCTGCTTCGTTCGTGTCACCTTGCGGTCGAAGTCTTTGTCCCACAGGTCATTGATGGTGCACCCCGCCGACCTACGAACATAGGAGGGCACAAGAAGGCATGGGAGAGGTTACCGGTTTTATTAGGACAACACCGCTGTTTCGCAACACGTTTGGTCACAAAGGGTTCAAGTGATTGGATCTCACGCGCCGGCGGTGTGTAAACGAAGAAAGACGACATCGTTGAAAGCATCACGATTCGGAGGAAAACTCTGGAAGCAATCGCGCTGCGTGAGGCGACCCTGCTCCGGCAAACACAATATGATGTTGTCGGGAGTGCCATGAAGAACACGCGGGAGTGTTGCGTACATTATGAAGATCGACGCCGTACAAAAGTGCAGCCTTCGTTGCTGCTGCAGATAAAACATGTTTCAAGAGTGCTCCTTTCTTGTGCGGCCTTGCCTCCTGTGTGACCCCAGCTGATGCGTCCAGAAAAACAAGCCATGATGTAGAAAGCGTCTGACGCCCAGCATAAAAGGGACGACACTCCAGCAATACAGAACGCACCACCATCTACTACTGTAAGAGCCTGGCAGTTAAGCAATTTGCGCTGCTGTACTGCGGAGCATCAATATGTTTGAACCAGGACTCGCTTGTTGTGCGTGGAAAAGAGCCTCTACAAAAACCCATATAAATAGTGGCTGTTGATTACCTGAGGAGGAAGCAAGGACCTGAGCCTCGGCCAATAAAAGGAAGTTCTATGCGTTGCGTTCCGTATGGTCTATACCCATGACTAAAAGCGTCCTCGTATTATTTTCTGCTGCAAGACTGGCGTCTTCTCATTGGCCAACCGCCCTCGATGCACGCATGTAAAGATACACACACATGATCTCCCTCCGGATCCAAATCCTTTGAATTTTACTCGTGTCCACGCCGCCACTCCATCACCCAGCACGCCAGCTGGTACCCTGCGAGTCCCTACAGACAAGGATTGCGAAGGTGTCATGTGCCTGAAACAGTTCGGTATCGACAATCACCTCATCAACACAGATCCGGTGGCGAACAGGGCCATCAGCTTGGCATCAGGGAGAGTACCCATCGGCGCCGCCAGCGCAATGCTCCACCAGCAAGGGAACAGCAAGAGCAAAGTCCCTGCTGGTTTGTCGATCCTAGCCAAGCGCCCGTACGGGCTCCAACGCGGGCCCAGCATCCTCAACACGGCGCTATCGCTCTCCAGGCCGTCTCCACCGCTCCCACTGCTGAAGCTGGCACTATTGCTGTTGCTACTGCTGCGGGGTGCCCGCGGCTGGCCTAACGGCAATGATAGTCTTGTCGACGTGTCGTCTTTGCTGTGGGTGCTGGAGACGCCACCGCCAGTGCTTCTGGTACTTCTCGACCTCCACACCGACACACAAGGAACCGCGCAATGAGATGGTGGAACTGGTCGGCGGTAGCGATGGTGTAGACAGCATCTGCTGCTGACCGATTCTAACGACCGACGATCATTGCTCCGCTGTGCACTCGCAGCAGATGAGAGCGTCCGAGGAAACAGGCCACAGCGACGCCGGGAAAGAGTACTGCAGCCGCGTGCTACTGCTGAACTATTGAGCAGCATCACTCGGCGAAGGTCTCTGCCTCTGCCTCTACTACTGCTGTGCTGCACGCTACGGCTGTGTGTTCGTGCTGGTGCTTGGTGCTTGCGTGCTTGCTGTGCGCGGCTACATAAGACGTTTGTGCTGCGTGCCCCCTGCCAAGCCGCGAATGATTCTACGGAGACTCCTTTCTCCCTCGTTTTGCTGTGTGTGTGCTGGCTGTGCCGTGTGCTGTGTCGCTGCCCAGTGCAGGGGGCTTTCGCCCTTGCGTGTGCACTGAACGGAAATGGCGGAGTTGGTCGTTGGCCAGAGGGTGAAGGTCCGCCCGAAGGCGGGCCCGGCCCAGGAGGGCGTCGTGTACACCCACGACGCCCTCACGAACACCATCACGATCAAGCAGGACATCCCCAACACAAAGACGCACAGCACCATCCTGGTGTACAATCGGGCGCACGTCCAGATCGACGTGGTGCCCGGAGCTCCCGTGGTGGACGACTGCATGGCGTTGCCGAACATCAGGTGCGAAGTGCGAAAGCATGCTGTTTGGTATGTAGGCCTCTCCTTGGACTACTGTGTACAACGTGCAGCGAAAACCAGATGTGTGTGTGCCGTGTAGCATGCCAGGGCGCGCCCCCACCCCAATACCGCTGCCTGCACCCGAAAGAAGGTCGACAACCTACAGCTGTATCCCTACAGCGTAGCGAAGTAAGTGTGCTGGTGCTTCACTACAGCGGCTCTCTTTGCCCGACGTAACGTTGTTACATCTATCGAATACAACTCTAGCGTGTTGGATCTTCGACGCTCCTCTGTCTCTCTCCTCTCTCCATTGCAATAGCCCGAAAGTGTTTGAAATGATTGTTCCGTATTGGGAGGACGAGTTTGACGAGCAGTATCTAACAAGATGCCTGCCGTCTTGTCTCTGTACCTTACGAGACGGTACACATCAATGGTTGGGTTTTCGTGTGTGGGTGTACAGCCCGGTTAGGTTCGTGATCATGCGTGTTTGCTTTGTTGTGACCGCCCCTACAGCAGGTCGCCTGCTCTCTCTCTGTCAAGCTCAACGGTTCCAACGCGGTGGTAGCCTAGCTCCAGATGATGTGTGTAACGTTATGTGTGTGGGTGGAAAGGCTATAGCGTGTAGCGCTCGACGTTGTAGCCGTAGGCTGTGATGGATCACCACATCACAACAAGGTGGTGTGTGTTATGTCCTAACTATCTAGGAGTACTACTAGTACCTGGTAGACGCCAATCTACACTTTGCGGCAGTAGTCTACCTCATGTTTCACGCACCAGCAGCATACAGGACCAAAAACCGGATTTCGTTCTTGTTCAACTCTCCCCGTGCGGCGCTTGCCTTCAATCTTCAATTGTGAACGCGGTAAAGGTTCAGCGTTTCTTGCCCTCTTGTGCGTGCTTACTCACGACCAAGTGGTGCAAATAAACCAACATACCATTCGGTTTGGAACACTTCTGTAGTGCCTGATGAAGAAGAAGCTGTTGACCTCGCCTGTTTTTGTGTCGTACGTATTTCAGCGGCCGGGAGTTGGACAGGAAGGAGAACAAGGCACTCCAGGAAGCGACGAAGGCATGGGCACAGATCAATCCGGGCGCCACCAACGAAGGACAAGCCATTTTCGACCTTTTCACCAAGACGTGCGTGTGTTTTAGTATGTATTATGAGTAAATATCTAGCATCGACCGCGCTGACCGGCTGACCAATGTGCGTGCTGTGTGCCTTGCAGTTGTATCACACCTCCTGAAGACGCCGTCAGACGTGTAGCCCTGGTTGTAGGAACCCTCCCCGCGTTTAATTGTGGCACGTGTTACATGACCATCTCCGCAGACTGCCTAGAGGCAGAACCGCGAGAGCTAGGACATCGTACCTGCTGCTTCGAATCCAAAGAAACTGCGTGGTTTCTCCACGTGCCATACACGGAACTCGTTTCACGTCATCGATCGTTTCGCGTCATCGATCCTGAGCATAGACGCCCACTCTCCCCATGTTTCAGTTTGGACTGCTCGTGGAGCGACCAGAGCATCGTGATCTTGGAGTCCGTGAGGATAGACCCCCCCTACACGGCTGATAGTTGTCGCAGCTTGGATGGAGACAAGCCAGGCCTCGACAGAGCGCTTCTAATGGTGAGACAAGAGATGGAGAGAAGAGGTGCCTGCTGTGAAACGCACATGTTTCAAGTCGACTTTCCGCTATCCCCACCCTTTAAGAGTACCGAATGAGGAAGTAACCGGATATATTAGATGAGAGGGGATTTTCAGAGGACGGCAACGATTGGGCCGCGTCTCGAGGATTGCCCTGGTGCGGTGGACTAGTAGCACAGGAAGGACGACCCACAATGTCGTCTAGGCTGTAGACGTGAAACGCTGTATGTCATACCGCTGTAGAAGAAGGCACAGAGGAACACCGCAAGATCTCGTTTTTTTTTGTGGTCTGGCGTGAAATAACAAGAGAGGTTTACATGGTGTGCATTCATTGATGGGCTTCTTCGTTTCGTAACGTTGAGACCAAAAGGTCGAGGAGAAAAAGGATCGATCATGCTGTCGAATTTGAACACCGTATGCATACGTACGTTTGCATTTCCGAATTTTTGTCGACTTCACCAACGTCTACTTTGTCCTCCCGTGCGCCCTTTTTCTTTCAGCTGGGCAAATTTCGAAAACAGCTGGAGGGGCCGAAGTCGGGCTGAGAGTTGGAGGGGGGAGGGGCGCGGTGGCCGCTTGCGTTGGGCATCGTTTGCGGAGCGGCCGCCGGGGACTCCGAATGCGTGCCTAATCGCTCGTCCAAAAAGGGTAGTAAGAAAGTCGTTGGCCCGGTATTTTGCAGCAAACAGCCGCTGGTGATGATTCCACCGGCTTACGGTATAGAGCCTGGCGTGTGCAGGCTTTTTCTTGCTGGTGATAAAGAAGCGGAAGGGCATGTGTTGGGGATCCACGGCAGCCTCTTGGTGAGGCATGGTCGAGAGGAAGGCACCCACGAGTGTGGAATGGTACCAAAATATGTTGTAGGCCTCCTTTCGATGCACGTATTAGTTTCACCAAGAGAAAAAAAAAAAAAACGAAAAATGAACAGTTGTGATTTATTTTTTTGGTGACAGTGCCAACTGCAACACGGCTAGGTTGCCCATGCACCGGCTGATAGAACTGCACAGCAGGCCATGAGGTTAACACTACGTTTGGTCGTGACAACCACGACCCACTACACACCCTTCCGGGAACGTCTGTTTGGTAGGAGCGGGGGGATGCAGCACGTGCTCGCTATCCACCGGCGAAACAAGAAAACGTGGACAACGAAGGCGTCCGCCACTTTCACACATGAGCCTGTAAATTAACGCCGTCCAATGTCAACAATACAACACAACATTCACTGTACGTACATACACAAGGCACGCGGGAGAAAACAACGATCTGGCCGCGCAAGGAATCGCGGCGAGCGGTAGAGGTACCCAGCAACAACGCGGTTGCTCCGCCGCTAACAGCGAACGACGCAAAGCCATCCTACACAACGACACATAAAACTATGACCCGAACTGCTCCTGCTCCGCGGCGTGCTTGGCAGCCGCAACCTGCTCTTGGAAAACTTCCCGCAGCCCTTCCATCTCCTGTGACAGATCCTCAGTCGCCGCCGATAAAGCATCCACCGGTGTGTTGTCACCGTTCGTTTGGACCTGACAAAACATGTTTTTATGTTTGATGTGGTTTTCAAACGCGTGGGTACATCAGTTGCAAGTGAGCTTTTCGAGTGCGTTTGTTTGATCGTACGACCTAGAAATGTGCGTGGCGTGAGAAAAAAAGACGTGGATGCCCTTGCTGAAGTACATACCGAGGCAAATCGTCTGGTATCAAAGTCCGTGTGTTGGAGATGGACTGCAGTAGAATACAGGATTTCGCTGAGTGACCCGCAACGCAAACGTGCCATCGTTTGCTCATGGTGAATGCTAGACATTGTTCTCCGATCCGAAGCACTTATGGGTTCTAGCGCGTTTGCTGCATCTCCGCCTGGCATTCATCAACAGCGGTGGCGTTCCTCAGCTCCAAGTCCATTGCCCCGCCATCTCTGATTTTTCAGCGGGGTCGATGGGTCTGATAAGACCTACATGGCCGCGTACAGCGCCACACTGGGACGCGAAAAGTTTGTTGCAAAGGGCACCTTGATATGGATCTTGTTCTCCAACGGATGAGGTTGCATGTACCCGGCAAACCGAACCTGCCTGTCGGCTAGCAGTTGCCTGTCGCACACAACGGACAGAGGAAAAAGCGACGGGGCCGAACGGGGCAGGGATGAAGAGGACACAAACGAAGTTTAACCCTCGACAACGCCTCCACCAATTGTACACCGGAACAATTGAATTGATTTCCTACCTTTCCGCCTCAAAAAGCAGTGTATACGCAGCAGCGAGAAAAAACAAGGTGGTGAGGAAGAACCGCTGTCGTACATAGGCGCCGCGCCGTGATTGTGACGCACTACAACAAATCTACAATGTCAACCTATCAACACCGTTGTGGGAATCATTTGTACCGCACACGCCACATCTGTCAGTGTAGTTACTCTTCGCCTACCGTGTCCCGAGCTCTAGCGCAGGCCGCCGACGAAAATGGCCTCAGCCGCTCCCAACTTCCCTAGACGCGAATGACTACACAGCACACAGGCAGTACGTTCTCCAATGAGAGAGAGACGTGGTGAAATGGTCGATAGACCAAGGCAATCACAGTCCCTCACACAAACCAATTGGCAAAGCTCGTGGGGCTTGTGTCTACCACAGCAGCAGCTGTAGCAACACAAACGCGTGGACCTTGAGAGACTTTCCTCATCCTTCGGGCATGCACAACAACCCATCCTCTCAAGCGCGCTTCTCAGCTCACATTCGCAGCAGGTTTCCGAGCGTGTGGTCCTCCTTGATGATCTCGAAGGTCCCGGCGTGCGGGATTTTGGTGTCTGGTGTGTAGGCAAGCCTGCGCGGGCGGGGGGGAGCGGCTGCGATACTAAGTTCTTCCTTCCGAAAGTCTGATTCTTTCGGGAATGGGTAGGTACACCATTGTGATTCGAAGGGGGAAGACGAACGAGAGAGAAGGGCCTTCGAAAAGGGAAAAGGAAAAAGTGAAGCAGCTTCCGTCGCTCCAGCAGACCCAAGCCTACCGCGGCCCATAGGTTTGTGTTAACCACGAGGGCGTACGCATAGGTCGGTAGGAGGCACCCCAAGGATCCGAATATGGCAGAAAAAGCAGTCGGCGGTGAGGTGGCGTGGATCAACGGGAGCATGAACCAAACGTAGCGATTGACATAGACGCCCCAAGACTGCGATAAAAGACGGAAGGTGGGGGTCTATTGTGCGGGGTTGTAGTTTGGTTTACTAAATCCCTTTTTCCAACACGCAATCAATCCTCCATAGACAAATTCCTTGCCTTCCGTACGCACATGTATGCTTTAGATCCCAACCTCCGCCTGCAAACCCTACCCTGACCTTCGTCTCGCCGGTCCACGTCGCTACTGCTGTACCTACGGCGTCTGTCAACGTCATACGATCATATGAAATAATGCCTGACTGAGGCACATTGCCCGTTTCGTGAGACGACGAGATCTTGACCCCTGAGAGGGCCTGCGCGATCGTGTGGGGGTATCGCCCAGGCCGATAGGGCTAGGGTCCAAGCAGATCGGAGCCGTCAGACTCGGTCCATCGATCACGCGGTAGTCTACGCAGCCCAGCAAGATTAATTAAGCAAACATATGGGATAAACTATTCAACCCGTGCTTTAGAGTTAGGGTTAGGGATAGGGATACGGTCTGCGCGCCCCCTCCCTATGCTTTCTCTTTTCTTATAGATACTCTAAAAACCCTGCGTAGGCGGTCCCGATCACGTGCCCCACACAATCGCACAGGCCCTCTCAGAGCTCAAGATCTCGGCTCACGATACAGCAGTAGGGGCAACTGCGTTTGAGTCGGGCACGTTTGGTTTGGCAGAATCCAGTAGGGATCGGTTGACCAGATCGCCCACACCATGTCGCGCAGGCCCCCTCAGAGGTCAAGGTTAATCTCAAAATAGGAGCAGCAGTCAGGCACGTATCGTAGCGTAGCGCCGTGGACCGGCGAGGTAAAGGTTGCTGGAAAAGTAACGAGGCAACCGGTAAAAAAATCACTCCGACCCAACAGAGTGTTGATTTCTCTACAATTCTGCGCGTCTGTAGTGCGATCTTGCACAGGATGTGTGCTCTGCTGCTTGTTTCTAAGTTCCAATCCAGCAATCCAGCAGATCAAAACTGCTGTTGTATTCAACCGCCGTATGTACGTGCTATTGTACAGCGCTGCACAGGTGCGCTAACCCATTTTGCCGTACTCCGGCATTGCCCCGCCGATGGCACGACGAATCACCGCAACGAATGGACTCACTTTTTCTCATCGTCGTTCAGTCGCCATGATTCCGACCTGAGAGGAATCAGACAGAGAGAAACAGCGCGGTTTGACGGGGGAAGGTCAGGATCCGTACAGCAGACAGCAGTAGCTCCGCAGCTGCGGGGGGCGATCAATCAAGCGAGCAACAGCGGATGCGTGCCAGATGGAGAAGCGCATTCCCAGCTTTCTCAAAGGTCACCACACAAAAGAAAACATTGACGAACCTCTCGGGAGCGTTCATTTCTTGGGCCGACCGGGGCAGTGGCGTCTAGTGCTGCTGTGCTGCTGGCTGGGTCGGCGGTCGGCGGAGAGCGGTGCCTGGGGGGTCGCATGCTTGGATTCCGGGGGGGTACGTTCGTTTTTTCTTGTTTGCGATCTCGGCCCCTTCCGCTGTCCCCGCCCTGCGCCGTTGCCACACACAGCTACAGCTTTGCCTTTGTCACCACCGTACAGCTGCCCTAACGCCTAACACAGCATGTTCTCTCCTCCAGCGCCCATGATGCGTCAATACTGTGAACGTAATGAGCTTGGAACAGGGCCTGTCTTGGATGAAGACGAGGGAGAGGAGGTGCGATGTTTGAGAGCTGTCGGTGCGGCGGATTTGATATTTTGAACACGAGCAAGTCTTTGGTTCTCCAGCGTGTGATGTTGTGGTGCACGGCAGTATATCCGGCGCGCACCCTCTCTGGGTCTCTGGATCTGGGCAAACAGTGAAGCATGCGTTGACACATTGCCGAGTGTCGTCGACACACACATGCCTAAAACTTGCTCTCATGCCCTATTGTATTCAAGACGAAATAGTTTCCGATTCTGGGAGGTTGCGTTGTCTCTGACCTCTTGTCCTGTGTCTCACTTCAACAAACGAGGTATAGCTACACAGATGGAGATAAACGGTGCCCGCAGGCGAGAGAGAGAGTAAAAAGATACCCGCAGTTTTCTGATTGACCAATTTTTTCGAGAGAGGAAAAAGGCGCCTGCAGTTGCTAAAAGTGGCCAATTTTTTCAATGGAGAGTTCTGATTGGTCAATAATCTCTGGTCGACCAAGGGTGAAGATCGACGATCGACGGGAACCGGGTGTGGCAGAAGCAACCGACCGACCCTTCGGCGCTGCACAACAACATCCTCGTCGCCGACCACGTCACTGCGCTGGCCCCGTTCTTGGGACCGTTGGCGGAGTTGTGCAAGCCGAGACAATCTACCGATTGGTTCCCTGAAGCAGAGAGCACAACTGCATACGAAGTCCGGCCGGCCGCACCGCACCGCCGCCCGAACGTCGTATACTGTTGCGCTCTCTGCTTCAGGAACAGTCGGTAGACTGTCTCGGCTTGCACAACTCCGCCAACGGTCCCAAGAACGGGGCCAGTGCAGTGACGTGGTCGACTACGAGGATGTTGTTGTGCAGCGCGGAAGGGTCGGTCGGTTGCTTCGGCCACACCCTGTTCCCGTCGACCTTCACTCCTCGGTCGACCAGGGATTTTTGGCCGACCAGAGATCTCCTTTCGAAAAAATACACAAATCGCTCGGTTGCTCTACACATAGCCCAGGGACGCTCTTTCGATTGATGGTCCCTGCCCTCTCGTCTTTGTTAAAAAAGCACATGACCTTTCTAGCCTAATATTAATATTTACAGGCATGGAAATAGCAGCGAGGAAGACGCGGACGATGGCAAACCTCCACGTACACACCATGAGAGCATGGTAAACACGTGCAGTTTCTTCTGTTATTGCTACGGCATTTGTCTCTTAGGCGGAGAGTAGCGTAGACTTCCCTATGACGCTCGGTCACAGGGTCCCAGATCGTGGCCCTTTTGAAGCATCTTGTGCTTTCAGACTCGCGTATTTTCATTGGTCAGCCGCTTAGCGCGGTCGATGCTATTAAGAAAATACACACACAACAGTCACACGAGCGTCGGTACTGTACGTTCGTCGGCGCGAACACTCTCAACCCTCGTAGTAGAGGCACGGCCGCAATGGTGAAACAAGAGCCAAGCATCAACACAGCTATCGTCAACAGTGATGGTGTTCGACGACCCCTCCCACACACACACACCCCTCCCCACTCCCCGACGCGGGCACTCCGCCGACGTTTCTCTCGCCCCCGCCGCCGTTGCTAACCATGAACACATCATCGGCAGGTACTCTTGCGCAACGAGGAAGTGACGCTAGCTTTCTCGCCGGAAAGCCCCGAGGGCCTGGGCAGCCTCACCGTCACCACCACGTGAGTCGCCCAGGCTCCAAGTTTCCATTGCTAACAGTCTCTCCCCTCCCTGACCCCGCCTTCCCCGCGACTTGATCGAGCCTCACGTTTCGATAAACGGCAAGTCTTATGGTGCAACGCCAGCTTTGTGAATATGATGGTGCGGAAGAGATAAAATCCTGTGTACGGACCCTGGCTGTCTCACATTTTTTCGGAAGCTCTATCCCCCCGGTGGTCAACCTTCGAGTTCTGCCTTGTCAGGGAAACATGCGTGTGCAGATCATATCAGGACGTTTTCGTATACCGCGTCACCACCCCTTGGCACGTCACAACCCTTCGTAGGCTCAAAATCAGATTCCATACAATAGATCATAGAGGATTATTGTATGTACATGCATAGACGGCATCGACGCAAGTCCTCGTTTTTTGAGTGTCTCCCCCCCCCCCTCCCACACACACACTGATATCTACAGACGAGTGGTGTGGCTCAGCAGCGAAGACCAGTCGAAGGCATTCGACTTCGACGTGGCGTATATCTGTCTTCACGCCATATCCAAGGACCCCGGAACATTCCCGAACCCGTGTATCTACTGTCAGGTGAAATACTGCATTTTGACGTATGCATAAGTAGCGCACTTTTCACTGTCGCGCAACGAGGAGTTTGGTTTGTTTTGGTTCATCTTGCATCACCTCATGTTTTCACGAACCCGTTAGGTGTCCCGCATCGTTTTCGTTCGATTCACGGCAATCTTGCCTGCTGTCTCCGCGGTGTGTGCCCCGATATTAAACAAAAATAAATAAATGATCATAGCTGGCGGTGGAAGAAGAAGACGTTCTGAAAGAGGCGTTTTTTGCTCCAAGCGACGGGGAAGCGGCGACCCTCCAGGCGCTTTTCGAGGCTTTCTCCAAGGCCGCGGAATTGAATCCAGAGCCAGGGGACGAGGGGGCAGGGGCGGGCGAGGAGGAGGGGCTGGGGGGAGGGGCGGGGGGGCTGGTCTTCGACCACGGCAGGTACGTGTGCGTACCTGCCGCTTTTCTGAGAAGACTCTCATTGGGTACACGAAGCATGTGGTGGATGACGACCCAATCGAGACTGAGGAGTTGGGGAAGAGCTGCGGGGGCGACGGGGAGTGTGTGTGTGTGTGTTGGGAACGGGCTTGATAGTCTAGCGCAATGCCATCCCCTGGGTACCGCAATGTTTTTGGTTTACACTGGTGGACGAATTGATCATTTTCTGTACAATTCATTTTGGTTTCGAAGAAAGTGCTTGCCGCCACTGCTCCGTTGGCGGGGTAATGGACTGAACTTAGTAGGCGGGGGCACCAGTCCTGACCCTACCCTACCCCCCCCCCCCCCTTGCGTTGGACCCATCAGTGCACTAAGTGCGGAGCAGGAGAGAGTGCTAGCGCATCTGGACTCTGTTCTGGTCGTGCCGGAGGGAATGGAGGCTGTAAATGGTAAGGGTCGAGCTTTGTTGTTGTGGACGTTACTGTCTCGTTGTTGTCGTTGTTGTTGATGGTGTTGCTGTCGTTGTTCTTGTTGGCGTCGTCTTCGCTTGAGAA